GTTTGGAGTACAGGTTGAGAAGCTTTGATCAACAGGGATATCATTATGGTCTTCATATTTTCTTTTTGTTGGAATTTTCAAAAGATCTTTTGTTTTTTTCTACTGCAGTTGCCAATGTTTTATAGATAACGATTCTCATTGAGTATTCTTGCAAGAAGTTGAATTAACACATGTATCTCTTATCAATACAATTTGACCCTACCATTGCCGATCTCAATTGAAGCCAATCCCAGCTCTGATCATGGAGCTAATATCCAAGCGGGACTCTCAGTCTCAATGGTTTCTTACATTTACTCAGGTTGATATGAGGTGATTGTGAGGCATTTGTCCACTTGGGTTTTCTTTTTGTGTCACCCTACCACCATGGTTTCAACCAAAGACGGACCTTGACAATAGACAAATATTTCCGTTACACGGTTTCAGACTTTCTGTTGCTCTCACGCCTTAACTTATCGCCGACGATCTTTTGCATACGATAAGGTCTTTCAAGATTTAAAAGTTGTTGGTTGTTGTTTCAAATACAGGTGATGAGTTAAGGCGTAGGTGTCAGAAAGGGTTTTGCAATTTAAATCTGCATTTAAAATGAAATGATGGCAATTAAGTTCCGTCAAGATACTTGGGATTTATGTATGTACTTAAATTAATTTCAATCCCTCAAATCTATTGGTATCATTTATCATTTTATCGCCTTGACAGTCGGAAGCAACTCCAATTTTGATTGCAATCGATTTCTAACAACATAAAAAGATCAACAACCTCATCGATTCTCAAATCCCCCCGCTTGATGGTATTCAACTTTAACCTGTTCATCTAATTCTCACTTTTTCACTTTTTCAAATGGTCTTAATCGATGGTCAGTTTCTTTTCAATCTCAATCTAGTTTTTCATTTTCATCAAGCTAACTCAAATCTCATCAAACCTCATATGTCCATAGGTAAAAAATTTGCATGCGCAGCTTGTGTCAAAGGTCACAGGTCGAGTAGTTGTGCTCATACCGATCGGACGTTAGTTGAGATTGGAAAAAAAGGTATCGCATATATTCTCCCTAGAAGCACATTCAAACTCATTGGTTGACTCACTTTCTTGTTTCGATATTAGGTCGTCCACCAACCCAATGTGCACATTGCCGTGAATTGAGGCGGATCAGTAAGGTTCATTCTAAATGTGTATGTGGTAATAAACCATTGAAGCAACGTCAGTACTGTCATCTTGACTTTTTTTATCGAGTTCTTTTGACTGATCGGTTGAGATTCCTTTGAATAGCTCGCAACCTCGCTGTCCTACCTAATGGATTGAACGGTCCTCTTGCATTATCACCGAATCCATCGTTGGACGAACCGAGTTCTGGTCCGTTTTCTTTCGGAGTCCTAGTTCTTTATTTGACCTCCTGTTGAATTTTCCTAGCTCTTTCATCAACTGTCCGTCAGATACTGATTCATCATGAATGTACATACAGTCACACAACCTACGAACCCTTGTTCATGTTCATCCGGTGGCCAATGCTGTTGCTCTGCACCTGCACATCCTTCTACTGGCACTCGAGCTGCCCAACTCAGATCAAAACAGAAGACACCTCCTTCAGCTCAACCACCGGTATTGCCTCCACGACGTCATAGCCCTCCTAGCATTCCCCACGAAATTCTCTCCGAAGCTGCTAATGCAAACCCTCAGCCGTTCTCATCATCATCTCCTTCACCACCCGCTATTCCTAGTTGTTGTGGGGCTAAACGTGCCCAGCCTTCAGATCCTCATCCTTCATCATCAAGAGCGACTCAACCTAATGGGTTTCATCCATATCCACCTCGGAGTCATCCAAGTCCTGTTTTGAATGCAGCTTTTTCATATTCAACCAATGAACCTATACCATCTACTTCTACTTCAAATTTCACATTGGATCAAATGGCAAATGAATCTTATACTGAAAAGAATATTGCATCTGAAGCACTCTTTGCTCCTCAAACTGCTGGTACTGCGCTATGCTTTTGTGGGATTCATTGTCCTTGTCCAGGTGAGTACTCAGGTCGCCTTTTCTCGATGAAGACTGATCACTTATATATGATGGTTCTTCTTTCAGGATGTGTACTACATGATCCCTTGGGATTAAAGTTTATGAATCACCCTTCAAGTTTATCACTAACACCAGCATGTCCTACAAGTATGAAACGAGCAGAAGGATGTCTTGCTGGACTTGATTTACCTACGATCAACGAACTCTTAAACTTGAGTCCAATCTCATCTCCTTTTCCTCCGATCGCACCAGTTCAATTACCAAGTATGAGTCAAACATTAGGATTCAATCCGACTTCTAATCCTTATCATCCTCCTTCTAATGGAGGTGGATGTTGTGGAGGAGCAGGACGTGGAGGAGCTGGTGGTGGTGGTGGTGTTGGAGGAGGAACAGGGAATGGAAATTCATCTAATGTTGGGATATATAATTATGATGAATTTGGAATCGGATTAAGTATCCCTTCTTAATTTCATACAATTTTTATATATCTCAATTCATGAGCATTTTTTTATCTTATCATCAACTTTTTGGTTTTGTTTAATTCAATCAGAATGTGTTTTGGGTTTTGGTTTTTTTTGTTTATGTTGTAAATCCCCTTTGCATTCTAAAATCCATTTGCATTTGAAGCATTTGAGTTATTGGATTCATTTAAGATTAAAAATTAGGAAAAAAAGCATGAATGGAAATGTTGTGAAAGTGAGAAATCAGTTGGGATTCAACAAGAATTTCTTCTTGGTGATCTTTTCTTTTTTTAAGATTATTCAACAATCAATCTTTGATGGTCTTGAATGAATCAAGTTATTGTATTATGTCAATCCATTCTCTTTGAATTATCTTCTAATGGGAAATATTACGGATAGTATGGATACATGGATGCATTTGGTTATTGTCAACAGTAAGATCAAAAAAGTCTAAAACTAGTAGATTGAAAGTCTGTGTCATGGGAGGTCCTGTGTCGAGCAGCACATGAAAAAAAGTCTCTCTGTCGGGGACTCGAACCCCGGTTGCCCGCGTGACAAGCGGGAGTACTGACCACTATACTAACAAAGACATGTAGAAGAAGTCCGAAATACAGTATCAGACCGCCTTTCTACATCAGAGAATAATCAGTAATGTGCTTTTTAAATTCTGGAAGATTCTCGCCATAAATTTTAAAACTTCGAATTCCCAAAAGTTTGTAGAGTAAACCGACACTTGGAACAAAACGATACAAGAATCATGGAAACAACTGAAACCAATTCATCTTTCTTTCCAGCACCACCTACAAGATATTTACAATTCACTAAACCGAACTTAACGATAGCCAAATCGATTCAATCAAAAACCAAACCAAATGAATTACAATTTGATTCAGATTTACAAAAAAGATTAATTAAAGAAAGTTTAAAAGATTTAAAAGATATAGAAGAGATAGATGAAGAAGAAATTGAAAGAATTAATGAAATCGATTTAAGAACGTTATTGGAACCACCTAATTTAGATTTGATTAAAGAAAGAGGCGGTTGGAGTTCGTTTGGTGATTGGGAACCTTGGCCTGGTAAATCTTCTAGAGCTATGTTAGAAGGTATGCCAAAGTTATATGAAGAAAAGATGGGTAAGTGATTGAATTTTCTTGATGATCTGATGACTTTGGAATTCTGATCGATTTTAGTTTTTTGTTTTGATGTATGTATTCATAGAACGTAAAGATGCCTTACAAGCACTTTTGAATACGTTGATTTATTCATACTTGAAACTTTTAAATCAATTAGGACATCAAGGACCTCCATCACTTTCGAATCATTCAAATCAAGTTTCAAATACCGATCAAATCATCTCTCATATCGAATTAACTTCATTTAATATGCATGGATTGTGTAATGAACTTAGACCTAGACAAGCACGTGAAACTTTAAAGTTAATGATGAAAGAACAAGCAAAGGAGAAAAGAGAAAAAGCTAGATTGGTTTTGAAGTAAGTTTAAGGGATTTTTTGATTTTCTTTTTCTGTTTGACGTTTTTGTTTTGGGGGGATTTCTTGAATTTTTGATTTTGGTTTTCTTCTTCTTAGGACTTGTGAAGATCTTAAGAATGATTTAATTGGTTTGAAAAATCATTCTGGTTCATTTGATGATCCGATTCAAAACATTCAATCTAATGAAACCTTTGATGATTCTATGAAAGAAACTGATGAAAAGACTTTATTGAAAGAAAAACAACAAGATTGGAATGCATTATTATCTGTTGTTGATGATTTATAAACATCACCTTTTTTGTTTTTCATCTCTTGTTTTTCATCTGTTGGTTATGATTTCTTTGATTGTGCTTGATCTTTGTAGTTTTTATGGGTTACATATGTGAAAGAAATCGGTTTTCTTTAGTTTAGAAAACGTGTTTTGATTTGAGATAGTTTTGTAAAGAAAAGGTCTTGATTAGTTTTGTATAGTTGTATGTAGTCATGATTTTCAAGTGAACTTGTTTAGGAGATGTTACTGAGTTCAGAGTGAGAAATGTAAATTGTAAGTTTGTAAGTTGAGTGTTGGTTCAGTTGGTTTTGAAGATTTCTCAATTCGGATGATGAACTTCTCAAGAAATCGATTAAAGAACAAGAACATCTTCAACCATCGATCTAATTCTACTCAAACTCATCCATCAAAACTAGATCAATTAATCAGATTAGGTCCAGTCTTATTCGATCCAATCAGAATACCTCGTTATCCAATCGTATTATGTCATGGTCTCTATGGGTAAACTTCTTCATTCGATTCTACATCAAACATCAAACTCACTCATCTTTTGTTTTTTTCTATTCGGAACAACAGATTCTCAGTTCGAGGTCCTACTTCATTTCCTAGATTTCAAATTCATTATTGGGGTAGATTATTAGAAATCTTACGAAACAAATTAGGTATCAAAGTTATCATTGGTCATGTACCTTCAACAGGTTCGATCAAACAAAGAGCTATGAGTTTAAATGAAATGTTAAAGAATGATCAATCGATGAAGAATTGCGATTTAAATTTTTTAGGTCATTCTATGGGTGGATTAGATGCAAGATATTTGATTTCTCATTTAAATCCTCATCTTCATTTTAATCCAGTGAGTCTGACTACGGTTTGTACTCCTCATAGGTTAGTTTAATGTTTCAATTTACATTCTTGATACATTTGAGATGAATGATGATGAAGGATTGATTTAAGTGTTTTCGATTTCTTTTCTTTTGGCAATTTAGGGGATCACCTTTCATGGATTGGTGTAGAGTTAATATTGGAGTAGGATTTCAAGAATCAGATGATCAATTTAATCAACCTAACAAATCGATCATGATGAACTCTAAACTCAACTTACCATTCTCATTATCACAACCACTCTTATCCTTAAACCAAACCCGATCATCAAACCCAAGCAAGAGTACCAACACGATTTCCAAAACATTTAACTATTTACCTAACAATTTATTAAAAGTTTTGTTATTGAATTTATTAGATTCACCAGCCTATTCGAATTTATCGAGTGATTTTTTGATTCATAAGTTTAATCCGAACACACCTAATGATCCCAAGGTCAAATATTTTAGTATTGCAGGCAAGATCAAACGGAAATTAAATTTGATTCATCCACTTTGGTTACCTAAGATGATCTTAGATGAATATCAAAAACATCATCCATCATCACAAGCAGGAGATGAAGGACATGATGGATTAGTGACCATTGAAAGTGCGAGATGGGGAGAGTTTTTAGGAGTGATTGAGAATACGGATCATTGGGAAATTAGAGGAAGTAGTGCGTTTGGTAGTACAGGAGGAACGGATTATCAAAAAGATGAGAATGAGAGATGGATGAAGAAAAAGAAAAAGAAGAGGTTAAATGAAGATGAGATCTTGGATGAGAAGACTAAGGTGAATTGGTTAGAAGTCAATAAGTTGATTGGAACTTGGATTTCTTCTAATTCTAATTCTAATCATCATCATCAAGATTTAGACGCAGCCAAGAAATTAAGTGAAATTAAATCTATGACAGAAGAGATTATGGAAAAAGATTTCAGTCTTAGATCAAAGGATCATCGAGATTTAAAAGTGTTTTTGAATGAAGAATCAAGTGAATCAAGTATTTATGCATTTGCTAATTGGATCCTTAAAAGATTACCTAATTTATCATCTTCTTCTGAATCAAATCAAGAAAATCAAAATCAAGATTTGAACGTGGAAGGAAACCGTCGTTTGAATGATTATAAGTCTACCATTCATTCACATTTTCCTTTAGATGATTTAGATCTTTTACCACTTCATCATCATCATCATCATCGAGATTTAAATTCGATTCATCATCATCATCATCAATTGAACTCTTCAACTAGAACAAAACTTGATTTGAGATCATTGGATGAAATGAATAAATTCGATTTAGAAATGGTTTATATTGCGATTTGTAGAAATTTATATAATCATGGGTTTTAAATGAAGGAAACAAGGAAAGGAAGAAGAAAGAAAAGAAAGATTTGGAAAGATTTACAATATATCATGTCATATCGTTATCATATCATATTCAAATATTGAGAAGAGAAAACACAAGATGTGATAAGGGTTGAAGTTTCATTTTTTTGTAGGATTTATGGTTTTCTTTGGTGTGTGTGTGTAGATTATGAATGGAAAATTGGATGGGTTTTGAAGTTAAAGTTGGATTTTTTGGAAGGTTGGAAGATAATTGATCATGGGGTTTAAATCAATCAATCAATTAATCAAACCATGAATTCAAATCGGTTTTGAATGAAAGATTATAGATTAAAAGAAAACATCAAGGTTAAATTCCAAAAAGATGTGTGTAAATACATAAATAAAATTTGTGTAAATAGAATGTAGATAACTTATTTTTGATGATGATAAAGAACCAGATGATTTTTTGGGGAGGTGTTTCAATATGGAAACCTAAGGGATGGTTTCCGTCTTTTGGAGTCTTATTTATGTTGCAATACATTTTTAGACCATAGGATCATCATGGGTGTAAAGGCTTTTGGCTAATCACAAAGTGGTACTGAGTGAGTACTATTCCACAAGGATTCTTATTTTTTGTAGTACCTCAACAAATATTCAACATTTCATGAGAGGGTCTTGGTGTCTGTGTTTCATCTTGTGAAGAGTGGCTCTCTGGGAAACAGAGAATATGATATGCAGTTAGGTTAAAAGTAGCCAAACTGAGTTTTGGTTTGTGAAAAAGCAGTTTTCTACACGGTATAGGGATATGCCTATAGATAAATCAAAGTATGTCAAGAATTCCAGTTTTTTTCAATTCACCTGTAGAAGCTTCTCCTCATCATAGTCAATCACCACTCAATCGATACTTCAAAGTCTCAACAATCACTTTGATCATCTTATCTCATCTCAACAAACCATCTCAACTAGCAATCGATTTCATCTCGCTTTACTAAATCGAACTTTTGCTTTTCTAAACAAAATTAAAGATCGATCATGGCTAGCTCATTAGCACCACCTCTACTGTTCGTTTCTTTTGATTTCTTTGTTTTTATTTTCAATTCCTGACAAACGATTTTCTTATTTTACAGATCAGCCCCAGCGGCAAAAACGTCTTGGGCTGACGAGCTCGGTTAGCTGAATCTCTTTCTTCACCCTTATCCCTCATCACAGCTTGATCATACTAACATCAAGTTGAATCAATCGTATTACATATCTGATCAGATGAAGATGAACTACCACCGATTTCAGAAACTATCGATCCAGTCACTGGTACCAAAACAATTGTTGAAGTGAAATTCAATGACGCAGGCAAGAAAGTGAAAATCGTTCGAAAAATCAAACGTACCTTGGTGACCACCAGTGTATCACATGAAGTAGCAGCACGAAAGCAATGGTCTAAATTCGGAGCTGAAGCTGGCAAGAAACCTGGACCTGATCTTGCTACGACTACTTTGGGTGAAACGGTGAAGATTAAATTGATGGCGGGTGGGGTGAAAGAACCGGTGGTGGAACCTACTAAGGCAGCTGTTACTGGGGTTTCAAGACGGATCACTTGTAGACTTTGTCAAGGTGATCATTTTACTGCTAGTTGTCCTTATAAGGAAACTCTGGGTGGTGTACTTGGTGGTGATGCTGGTAAGTCATGCGATCTGATCCGGTTTCGATTCATCTTGAACTTCTTTCTAAAGCCTAGCGTTCTTTTGGTGAATGTTAGGTGATCAAGAACCGCAAGACGGACCACCACCATCAGTTGCACAAGGTACAGGAGCCGGAGCTGGACCGACTGGTAAATACGTACCACCCTCACAACGTATGGATGGAGGTAAAAGAGGAGGAGGAGATTCGATGCAAAAACCTAATCGAGATGATTTACCTACGTTACGGGTGACGAATTTATCAGAAGATGTACAAGAGAATGATTTATGGGATCTCTTTGCAAGGTTTGGAAAGATTTCACGAATTTATGTTGGGAAAGATCAAGAAACTGGACTTTGTAAAGGGTTTGCGTTTGTGAGTTTTGAAGATCGTTTGGAAGCTGAACGAGCTATGAAGAAGATTAATGGGTTACCTTATGATCATTTGATTTTGGGATGGTATGTGGTTGTTTTTGTTAGGTTCTTATTCGATTTTCTTTTTTTTTCATAACTGATGTTTCGATTTCTGTTTTTCTTAGTATGTGGAGCTTACCACGTGGAGAAAGAGAATCGAAATAGGTTTGATTGAAATGATATTTATCATTAGTGTATGTGGGATCTTGATGATAGAATATAAACCAAAAACAAAACAAATGTTCCTATCGCTGGACAGATTACATATCTGAGCTTTTACAATTTGACTTTTTTTCCCTGTGCCGATCTATCATGTTTACAGAAATGATTGTGTATGTTGACATTCACTCGTATGATAGAGTGAAAAGAGATGATGGATTTAAGAGTACAGAGAATTAGAGAATCATAATGAGATTTGTATGAAATTAATCGATCTTATGATTACACTATGTGAGAATTCCATCATCATCATCATCATCGAGCTTGTCTTCATGATTGACCATGTTGACCCAAAACATGAAGCCTTCAAATGATGAGAAGTCATTGATCTACATGTAAGAGTATAATCAGGAATCATGAAGAAGCTGTAGGAGTGTAATTGTGAGAGCGGTTAATCAAATGATCTTCCCAAATGATCGAATCCGTCCGAAAGACTAAAGTAATGGTTTAAGAATGTCAAACTGCAGGGAGGGGAAGTGTTAATCTTTAGCTACATATCACATCTCAAACACCGATCATATGCATATATCCACTCAAATTTACATAACCTTGGTTTTCGACTCTGGAATATAAACCCGATACATACCATCGCGACATCAAACCAATCCAACGAAAGAAATCCATTCAGCAAGACTTGTTAAAGGGTTTTGATAGATCCGACCATTTGAACCAAATCATGTCTATTAGTAAGTCATCATAAGATTATATTATTCTATAAAACTTTGAAAAGTGTACGAAAGTCTATAAACTGATCTTTGATTCGATCTTAAACTTTCTATGATTCGAATTGGTTGTTATTGTAGCAGGTTTACCAAGTCCAATTAATTTCACCAAAGTTAGTATATATATATATTTTTTTCTATAAAATATGAAGGATTCTTGATTTTAAATTGATGATTTGAATGGTATGGATTTTTTTGATTCGATAGTGGGTTGCTGAAAATGGTGATAAGTTAAAACCTCCAGTGAGTGATTTATTTGATTTGATTTAGATTGAAGTTTAGATTGCTTTTGAGAGTTTTTGATTGGTACTTATTGATCATTAAAAGTTTGAAGAAAAAAATAATAATGAAGTGTGAAGGAACTGATTTGATTTGTATATATTTTCAATAGGTTAATAATTTTTGTATTTATGATGGTAAGTTTATGATGAAGATAGAATTTGAATTATTGAATTTGAAAGAAGAAGAAGAAGATCGTTGATGAATTCGTCTTGGATTACATTATTTGAATTTTAGGAAAAGATTTGTAAGTGATCATCAAATTGATTATCGAAAAGACCAAGAAAGAAAACCCTTGATTGTTTTCAATTACTAAAAAAGATTATTTTTGGTTTGGTTTGGTTTTTTTTCTTTAGTATTACAATGGTGGTAGGAGGACCGAATTCTAGAAATGATTATCATTTAAATGAAACTGAAGAATGGTTTTATCAAGTGAAAGGTTCGATGTTATTAAAAGTCATAAGTCATGAAAATTTTGTAGATATTAAAATTGATGAAGGAGAAATGTTTTTATTACCTGGTAAACTTCTTCTATTCATTTGGTTTTCTACTTGACAGAGTGGGTTGACTTGAATGGTGAACTTTTTTTGGGGGAGTAGCTAATACTCCTCATAACCCTTGTCGGTTTGAGAATACTATTGGATTGGTTATGGAACGTAAACGTCCAGAAGGATCAATTGGTATGAGATTCTTTACAAATCTTGAAAAACATATAGACTATCATCTTAGATGAATCCTTTTGATGGATTGAACCTAATGTCAACTTTTTTTTATATGCGTGTGTCTGGGTGTGTGTTTGTAGATCGTTTACGTTGGTATTGTCAAAATCATGAAAAACATTCCAAACCGTTTATGATTAGAGAAGTTTCATTTCATTGTACTGATCTAGGTACTCAACTTAAACCATTAATTAATGTAAGATCTTTTTTCTTGGTTTTTTTCTAACAAAAATATATATATCACTTCCTTCTATTTTATTATTGTTTTTATGGAATACTCATTGGGTCTTTTTGGATTTTGTTTTTTTTCTTTCCCTGATTTTGATGCACATAGGAATGGATGGAAAATGAAGGACTACGTAAGTGTGGAGAGTGTGGAGAAATTGCTGCTGGTTGTTAAAAAAGAAGAAAATTGATCATTTTAGAAAAGTTCTTTTTTAAGATGGTTCTCAGTGATTTTGGATTTTACAAGTTGCGTTGTCTCTTTTCAAGGATAAAAATTTGAATGGGTTGTAAGTCTATGTTTGTTGATACTGTCATGAGAGGAGGTTTTTGATCAGGTTTTGTAAAATTAAATTGGGTTATGAAGTTGGATAGTTTTTTTGGAGGGTAGGATTAGAGGGGGTTCTTTGAAAGTTTGTTGGAAAGGTTCTTAACTGATATGAATCTTGTGGTGTGGTTACTTAGGGCGCGTTCACTTGAGCAATTTCTGGACAGAAATTACATTCTGTATATTTTGATAAAATGAAAGAATGAACTATACTCCACCAAACCAGCAAAATTCAATTTCTGACCAGGGAATGCTTAAGAGTGTGTTTGTTTGACATGGTGTCCTAGAAATGAATATCTAGGAAACCTCTTTGGTACATATATAAAAGTTGTCTTTTTATTAAAAACAGTCCTAATTTGACTTCTTGAAAGAAACACCCTGTCCACCTGAGATACTCTCAGCGACGAGAGCAAGCCACGCCACCCTTTGAAACATCCTGAAAGTACTTTCAATTCCCTCAGAAAGTAATTTGTAATCCGGAACCTTTGTTCTTGGGTCCACCTGCGCAATTCTGGATCCTTTGCTTAGTCTTTGAACTTAACAAAGTTCTTCACGATCGTGTATGTTCAAGGGCGCGGCAAAGCAAGGAGGACACACTTGCGAGAGACTCTGGTTTACTTGGACCTTCTCGTGAATTCACAAGGACTCGCGATCGTGAATCTTCATCCTTTCTCAGGCTACAGATGTTCACGTTTTGTCGGTCTATTCACCTTTCCATCGCTTCTCTTGCCCTCATCAATAGACTTTGGTTCATAATCCTTCACTTTTGATTCATCCTTGTGTATGACTTCAGGTGTTTGTTGGTGCCGAGCTTCAAGAGTGGCTCTCTGTCCAACTAAGGACCCAAATAAAATGGATCAATCGGACATGATTTACATTAGGTCGACTATCTGAATATACTTTTGAAAGAAAGCACAAAATTGTCTCTGTGTAGCAAAAGCGAGAATCGTTCTTGGTGGATGCCGTTGTGCTCAAAGAACCCTCTGTTTGGTAAAGATTGTGTCTATGCTTGATGCCTTTGATAAAGCAAATCTGAATCACACTGAAAGGATAGTCAACACAATCTCCGGCATGAGATTGAGGTATGGCCGTGAGTTTCACTTTCTGTTGTTCATTCTTAAGTTCTTGTCTTGCTCGTAGATTTTTGACTCCATCTCATTCTTATTCCTTTTTTTATTTCACTTTCTCTGAATTATATTTTCTATCATCACTGGCTGGCCAGAAGCTCTTTTATTTTTACTTCATCTGATATATATTTTTTATCACCACTGGCTGGCCAGACTCCCAGTCGATCTCATTCTTATTTCTTTTTTTATTTCACTTTCTCTGAATTAAATTTTCTATCATCACTGGCTGGCCAGAAGCTCGTTTATCTCTCATCAGCTCACATTCGCCAATATCAACTCTTCAAAACTTCTATTCCCTTAGTCAACTTATTGATCCAGGTGGTCACGGTCTTCCCTCCAACTTAATACACCAAAACTTCCATACTTCCTTTGTACTGTTTTCCTGTGATTGAATCCATTACATCGCCTGCCAATGGATATCGGATTAACTGGGACAAGTTCCGCTGGGGCACACTCAAATTCTGAAGGTCAGTTCCTGTACTGACATATTTGTATTTAAACTTTGTTATTGATTTCGCCACTTATTTGTCACTTGTCATAGGTCGCAGCAAACGCCAAAGAGTCGAAGACGGTAAGTGGTTTTAATTCGTTCCCACATATTTCCGATCTAATGTTATGGTTTGGATGTTTCTTTTTCAGACGGTTCTATGCATCGACAAAGCTCGCCACTAATCGACGACAATGATGATTTGGATGATTTTGATGAAAGTGACTCGGGTAAGTGTTTCACTATTCCTTTGTAAATAGGCTTCAACTGACCACACCTTTATCTTTCCAGATGGTGAACTCTCACCTGCTGAAAGAGCTAGTCGGAAGCGCAAACTGAAGGCAATGCGAAAAGAAGAAAAGGAACAACGCGACCGTAATTCGATGTTGAGTACCATGGCCAACTCGCATGCAACTCTCCAGGCGGCAACTGCTCTAGCTAGAGCTCCTTCAGAATATGTTGAAGATGCTTCTTGGTGTGTA